CAGCAGGAAGGATGAGGCCTGTACACCTCTACAACTCTGCATTCTCCAGAAGATCAAACCTGATGGAGTGTCAGTCTTCTTGCAGCAGACATAGAGCAGCATGCCCAGTCCTCACAGTGTCTATTTTGCAGCTGAGATGTCAATGATAACACCGACAGTTGTACCAAGCTAGGTCCTATACCACTCACAGCGAAGGCAGTGACATAAGCTTCAGCCAGACAAGTCCCAGCATATCCCAGCAGGTTTTCCCAGCTTGTGCAGCTACGGCTTGTCAGTTATTGGTACCCAAACAACACAGCACATCTACCCCCGCTAAAACTGCCACAGACTGCAGTACAGAGAAAGCTTCAGGAGTGCTCAGCCTACTGTCCTATCTTTCCCTGCCCACCTAACTGCTCTTCATGTACCAAAGCACGGCAGCTTCACACTCCTGGTAGCACACACTCCAACCTCAGCAGGATTAAGGCTGTTTTCTCCAGTAGACCCTCTCTGCCTTTGCCTGTTAGTCTTGTTTGCTGTGCCCCTAAGTGATGCGCAGGCTTGATGAACACCTTGAAAAGCAGAGGGCAGTGCAGTCGACAGAGCAGCCAGCCAGCGCAAAGGGCAATGAGCAACAAAGCGTTACACCTTAAGAAACAGCTGAGAAACAGCCAAGAGCCACTGAGAATTACAGGTCAGCAAGTATAGAGTTTTAAAATTTTCAGGCACCCTTATACCAAAAGGCACCAACCCAATGACTCCGGTATCGCTAGACTTTTTTAAAGTCATGCACCGTAGCTGTCAAAGCCAGCTCTTCTACAGAGCTCCAGGCATCACTTCCAGCCAAGAGTTTGGACTGTAAAAGTAACATCAGTGAATGCCTGCACTTCGTCTCCCCAACGACTTACTGACATCTGCTTCAGTACACAGCTTTGCCTTGCTACACCATGTTAAATGCCCATGCACTAGGCTCGCATCAGATAGGGGCATCTTCAGTGTTCTTAAGAGCTGTCTCATCTTTCCTTTCTCTATCTCAGACCTGTACCCCAGAAGGCCAGAAAAATTCCCAGAACTCTGTGGCCATTGCTGTTGCCCCAGAAGTGCCATTGGCTTGGTGCCTGTGCCACCCATGAGTGCTCAGACAAGCAGATTTGTGTGATTCTCCTACCTTCATGTATGAGCTAGTGAGCAGGAAT